ATTATCATCATCCCTATCCTCATCTTCATTTTCGTTCTTGGTGCTATAATCACTATCATTTTCATTATCATAATCTCGATTTTTTTTTTCTATTTTTTTTTTTTACTTATGGATTTTCATCATCATTGTTTGTATCCTCCTAAAAATGATACCTTCACTCTCATCACTCCAGTCTATTTTGTTTAATGAAGAAAATTGCATCAATTTCTTATTTGATAAAGAGATTTTGTATGAACAACCCACGTGTAGCATATGTAATGCTAGGACAACAAGGTATGACAAGTTTTCAAATATTGGTGAAAAAGGTGCAGAAAAGCTGTGATAATCTTCAAGTATTCTTTTTTTGCTAAAAATCGATTAAAGGCCTATAAACCCTTTTAATCGGCTATTTATAGCTTTCCAATGTATCGCATAAATCAATTATGGCTATAACGGGCTATTTATCACATACAATAACCGACCATATAGGTTATTATAGATTATTGTTCTTATTTTATTTTATTTTATTTTTTTTCTCTCTAAATTCAATTATTTTCTTTATAGAACTCTTGTCAGTTTTGATGTTCAACAGACTCAAGGCAGTATTGGGGGTCCAGATATTATAGTAGAAATAGATGAATCGAAGTTTGGTAGGCAAAAATATAACTATGGTTATCATATCAAAGGAGTATGGATCTTTGGTGGTATAGAGAGAATCCCCGATAGAAAAATATTTGCAAGAGCTATTGATGACAGATTCGCTGAGACCCTACTCTCTCTAATTGAAGAAAATATAAACCTGGGTCTATTATTTATTCAGACCTGTGGCATGCTTACACAAGAATAAACCCTGATTTAGAGTTTTGACATCAAACCATAAATAATAGTTTAAATTTTGTCGACCCCACTACTGGTATCCATATGAATACTATTGAAGGAACCTGGAATGGTATTAAAATTCAGGTTAGTAATTAAAAAAAAATTAATTTAATCGATTTAATTCCTTACAGCTGTTATCATAATTTCTGGAAATACTCGTAAAAAATTAGCCGAATGATTTTTGACCGATTCGATTAATTTATTATTTCAGCATACAGCTGCTTTTCAGTTATTTTTATAATTCCTAAAACACCTGTAAAAAATTAGCCGAATGATTTTTTGGCTAATCCAGTTAAGTCATTATTTCGGCATAATCAATTCAATAAAAATTAATCTATTATACCGAAATAATAACTTAACTGCCAAAAAATCATTCTGCTAATTTTTTACAAGTATCTCAGGAATTATGAAAATAGCTGTAAATCAACTATTATATTTATAAATTAAACTTGCAATAGCTAATTGCAACTAATTATCTATAGGTGCAAAATAATATCCAGGAGTAATTTCAAATTATGGCCTGTGCTAAATTTAACTTACTATATTATCTCAAAATAATGCCTGGGTGTAGATTAAAAATTTGGCCTGAATTAAGCTTAATTAAACTAAATTAAGCTTAACTTGAGACAGATTTTTAACCTACACCCCAGGAGTTATTTCGAGACAATATGATAGGACATTATTTGTTCTTACCAAAATAATAAAAATCAGTCTGATTAATTAATTGACTTTTTTTTTTTTTTTTAGATTCTATTAAGAAGCTGTACAAAATCTAAAATTTCGGACTGCTTGTTTGAGTTTATATGGTACTGGCAGAACAAAGATAATCTTTGGGAGAAGATGTTGGAATGTATGAAGAACACAGGATATTTTGAAGATGAAGAAAAAGATGAGAGTGAGGGTGAAGAGGATGAAGAGGAAAATGAGGAGAATGACGAAAGTGAGAATAATGAAGATAGACATAAAGATGAGTATGATGAAGTGAATAATGAGAATGATGAAGAGGAGGATGAAGAGAGGGATGAAAATTATGATAGTGATAGTGAGAATAATGAGAACGAAAATGAAAATTAGAATAGAGATTATGATAATGAAAATGATAGTGATTATAGCACCAAGAACGAAAATGAAGATGAGGATAGGGATGATGATAAT